GCAAGCCCCGCTCCATGTCGAATCCTTCTAGCAACTCTTACTCTATAGGAGGAGAACATGCAAGCACCGTCTCGAGATCGACAGCACCTCAAGTATCGCAAACTGACTCTCCCACCGTAGGCCATAATCGCATGACATCAGATGTGTCTGGTGTAACTGAAAGCGACGGGAAGCCTACTCGCGTAACATCTGATGTTTCTGGCGTCTCTGAGGGCGATGCCTTAGCACTCCGACATACGGCCGTTCCCATAAGTCCAAGGACTGACGATACAAGCTTGCCCTCGCCGCCACTTCCCTCTCCCCCTGCAGACCTAACACCCAATTCACCCATCGGTGAAGGGCCAGTATCCCCTGCACCAGTCTCTCTTCCCAGTGCCAGCGAGGCTCCTGGTCGGGACTATATCACAGCCAAGGCCTCAGCAAGCCCTATCCGGAAGAGCATGTTTAAGGAAAGTGATGAGGATATGGGACATTCTAAGAAGATACCTTAATTTGGCATAAAATCGGAGGATGGCGTTTGAATTGTGGTTTATGATGGAACGTATGGGCATACATATCAATATTGGGGGGCAGGACATTCTTTCACAGGCTCAGCATTCTAGGAGTACGATACCTTGGTTTAGGTTCATGGCGGACTACACTCGTTTTGTTGCAAAACATTCAATGTCTATATACGTTACTTTTGAGTACCTATATTCGTAATATCCAATCCATATGAAAGATTTCCCTGCTCTCTGTTCTTCCGTCTAATCTTGCCCTGTGGTGCCTTTCAAAATCGAGGTATTTTTGTTCCTTTCCATGCCTAGAAATATCCGGTTAAACCTCAACGAGCTGGTCATCTTCATCCTCGACCTCTTCTACTCGTCCGTTTGTAGCCTCGGGCTTATCCTCGATGGCCTTAACATAATTCTCTGTCTTGACTTCGTCTTCCTCGTCGCGTGCTAATACTTGCACTAAGCGCTCACAAGCTTCTTGAACACCCTCATCATTGACTCGCGAATGTGTCTCACGAATGACAGGATAGACCTTGACACGACGCATAAGGTCTCGTCCTTCCCGTGTTGTCGTCAATAATGTGAGTGTCTCAACATGTGTCTGCACATTCTGGTTGTCTGAGTCTCGCTTCTTATCAGGAGGTAGCAGTTGGAGATCAGGCAGCATATCCATTGTCTCATCAACATCGTACTCCTCGTTACCCATGATAGGAAGCAGGATATAAGGTAGGATATCGATCTCATCCTCAGATAAAAATGAAGGGTGGGATGAAACCTCAAAGGCAATGTTCTTGATAGTGCTAGCAACACCTTTTCGTCGAATATCGGACTTGTGTTCAGTGAAAACCTTGAGCTTGGTAATGGGAATGACCTTGTCATAAGATTGCTCTTCAAGGAAGTGCTTTCGAATATCAGCGTGCTTGGAGAGATCGGCGAAGACGTAGGCTAGATAGTCAAAGTCTGCGTCCTTGTTGTATGTGCCGTCTTGTCCCTTGACAAACAGATCTAGCAATTGGTTGAGGACTACCTGGTCAGAGCCTAGTTCCTTTGGAGGTTCTTGCTTTCGCTTGAGAAAATCCTTCAAGCCATCCCACTTGGATAGGTTGGCCACAAGCATGGCCAACAAGTTGGCATTAGGCTCTTCGGGGTTCTAGATGCCGTGTGAGCGACTGATAATAAGTCTCTTCAGCCTTTAAACATACCACTATGAGATCGAATACAATTCCGAGGAACTTTTCGTCTCTTGCAAGGAACTCGAGGACCTCTTGGTCACTCGATAAGTTGACCAGCATGGTGATGGCATGTTCGGCAATTTTCTGAGATATCATTAGTCTCAAGGAGACTCTTTTCATTCTCACAGGCTCCTCAACTTACAGGATGATCTCGGACTAGGAAACTGAGATGCTTGACCGGTTGGAGTTTCTCGGCCTTGAAGATGCTGGGTTCTGACAACGAGTAGGGGACGAGGTTCTCAGCAGCAAGCAGACGAATCTGAGCGTTGGGGTTGGCGATGAAGCCGACGAGCTGCAGTCGATATATGTTAACTGAGTGTTCTTCTGGAGGTATATAGGGTAGCTTGCCTCTTCTAGTTCAGTTGGCATTTTCTCTTTCTGTTATTATCTTCAATAAATAGGTAGGTATGTGTTGTTGAAGTGAATTTTTAGTGTTGGCGATGATTTTGGAGGGGCATGAGAGTAGTGGGGGTAGAGGCCTGAAGTCATCGCTGCTTCAGTAGGACTGGGCATCATTTTTAGTGGTCAACAAGTGAATTTTCAGTTGGACCCACATGCTGAAGAAGTTTCCAAGGGTCTCTTCTTGTGTCATCATGGTGGCGGGGCAGAATCAGCCTGGTTTATCTTTTTTACTTGTTCACCAAAGCAAGGATATTAGAAGTTTTAGCTGCCTGATTTATTAGCCAGAAGCATCAACTGTTTTATTCCACACTTGTGAAATGCGTGGCTTCATTTTCTGCTACTTAATAGCAAGAGAATAAGGTACCTAGTAAAGGAAGACAAGGGATACAATGAAGGCAATAGCACGTAGAATTTCTAGTATAGATTTCCATAAATAATATAGAGCACATGTAGATCGATACACGAATATCGTGCTCTGCCGTCTCATCAGTCTGATATATCTGATATAAGTGATCCAATTCATAGACAACTTCTCGACCGAAAGCGGTGAACCACCTTTGTGAGCCGATACAGTGCACTAGGCAAATTCGAGCAAGAGGGGTCCTTATCGATAAGGCAAAATTTTTGAAATTCTACCCAAACTACGACTCCAAGCCCACATTGTGTGCCATCTCCAAGTCAATACGCCCAAAATGCCTAAAGCTACTACTCCTTCTGCCTCGCGGCAGACACGACGACACAACCCTCTCGAGGATGACATCACAGCCACTGGAATTCTCAAGAATAAGCCCTCAAAGAGGAGATCAAGGGGCGGCGACGATGAGGAGGAAAACTTTGTCGACGACCGCGCTTCCAGAACCATTCTGCGCATAGGTCGTGAGCTGGCTGAGGAGGAAAATGCTGGTAAGGCTGTCGCTAAACCTACCATCGATACTTTTGGCTACGATTCACGATTTGACGATGAGGCTGAGGAGGAGAACAAGGTCTATGAGGACGACGAGGCTTGGGGCGAGGATGAAGAAGTCGTAGAAGAGATCGAGGTTGACCCAAATGACCTTGATATGTACCGAAAATTCATGCCCGATGAGGAAGATGATCTATTGAAGCACGGGTGGGATCTCAAGCCTACAGGAGAGGAGCAGGGCGAGAGCGTCAACCTTGCAGATCTTATCTTGGAGAAGATTGCTGCTCATGAGGCGGCGCAAGAGAGGCGAGAGAACAACCTGGGACCTCCCGATGAGGAGGACTATGAGCTTCCTCCCAAAGTTATCGAGGTCTACACCAAGTAAGTTCCCAATTAGAACCTGAAATGACAGCATAGGCTAACAATTCTAGGGTCGGCCAAATCCTCTCTCGATACAAGTCCGGACCTCTGCCAAAACCCTTCAAAATTCTCCCCACAATCCCTCACTGGGAAGACATCATCGCTGTCACTGAGCCCGACAAGTGGTCTACCAATGCTTGCTACCAGGCGACAAGAATCTTCGTTTCCAGCAAGCCCCATGTTGTTCAGCGATTCCTGGAAATGGTCATCCTGGACCGCGTTCGCGAAGATATCTACGAAACCAAGAAGCTCAACGTCCATCTGTTCAACTCGCTCAAGAAGGGTCTTTACAAGCCTGCTGCTTTCTTCAAGGGCTTCCTGTTCCCTCTCGTTGGCAGTGGAACCTGCACCCTCCGCGAGGCTCATATTATCTCCGCCGTCTTGACTAGGATTTCTATCCCTGTGCTTCACTCTGCCGCGGCCCTGAAGGGTCTATGCGATATTGCCGCTCAGGAGGCGTCTCATGGAACCGAGGGTGGAGGTGCCACCAATATCTTCATCAAGGCCCTTCTGGAGAAGAAGTATGCTCTCCCCTTCCAGGTTATTGACGCCCTGGTATTCCACTTTTTGCGATTTCGTAGTGTCGACCCTGCCTCTGTTCAGGTCGGCGACGCTATGTCAGGCTTGAATGAAGGTGATGCTAGAACAAAGCTGCCCGTTATCTGGCACCAGTGTCTGCTCGCATTCGCCCAGCGATACAAGGGCGATGTCACAGAAGATCAGCGCGAGGCCCTTCTGGATCTCCTTCTTACACATGGTCACGCAGCTATCGGCCCCGAGGTGAGGAGAGAGTTGTTGGCTGGACGAGGACGTGGTGTGCCGCTGGAGCCCCAGGGCCCAGCATTGGATGGCGATGACACTATGCTCATTGACTGATGGTAATGAGACTGATGCTATCGATCAACGGCATTTCTAATGAAGCAAGACAACTTTGGCGTATGGCGTATTAAAAGGGTTTCAAGCTGGTTCGACTTGAGTGGAGATAGAATTGAGTCTGTTGGAGACAACAAGCCCATCTCGATACCAATTACCTACATATGATTCTTCTGTTCCATATGTGTTTCCTCTATAAATCCAATCGTGCACTGTCCGTCACCTGCATGCCTTCTACATCATTGAGCATCCTTCTACCTTGGCCAAATGGGATGCCATGGGCCTCCACTGCCAGGGCATTCACCATTCACAGCATGCGGAAGGAGCAGTGACAACAACTGCCATGCACCTCTAGAAGGCAGCGGAACTCCTACTCCGAACGTATCCGATACTCCCATCATTCATCCTCCTAAGTTTCTTCCTACCTATGGAACAGCTCTCCTCGCTAGCATCTTACGCTATACGTGCTATGTTCTCTATCCCAACCTCCTAGTTGTCTGTTTTAAGCCGTTATATAATTCTTTTCCAACCTCGGTCCTTTTCGCCAAACATTGTCGCCCCAGTTGATTATATCATCTTGATCGAAGGGCGGCCTCGCCCGAACAGTGCTACTCCAGGTTTGAGATGCCGGCGCAGTCTCGTTCAGATCCATCGTTGCCAACAATTCGTCATAATATGAACGAGCCCAAGTACGACACCACATTATGAGACCCCGAGCAGCTATGCTGATATCTCTAGTTACTTCAATGTTCCTCATGGAACGACTGCGTCTCCTGCCTTCGCCGCCGCGGCTTTCACGGCATCCAAACCAAAATATGAAAACCTAATGAAACACCACCCGAGCCTTCCTTCAATGCCGGAGAATATGTTCTCGTCTCCTCTTACTTCAAATGCTGCTACGCCTCGGCCATCCTATCGACAATCCCTATCATCCTCTAGTTTCGGTGTGGACCCCCCACGGCCTCCTCGTGATGGGTTCGAGTAGGTCTGGTTCCCTCAAGGATACTGGGCAGAACGCCAAATTCTGGTACCACGAAAGAGCACTTCTGGGAAAAGCTTCTTCAGGTGGAGAAACCGCTCGACGAAGTTCGCCAGTGAATCAGACGTTCGACACCTTTCATTCGCATCTCCTTTAACATCCCTTTCAGCGCCACTCACCTTCCAGGGGTTCGAACCAACACAGCCAAGACCACCCTCCAGTCCCTTTGTGTCGGAATCGGCGCACGTTCTCTCTTTGCAGCATCCTTCCGTCACGCGCTTCTCAGATCAATTTCCAGATTCCAGCGATATGTCCCCCAGCATGAACAGCACAGACTCGATCTCCCCGATGAACAATTCTGGCATAAACGGACACACAAGCACTCCTCCGTCTTCACCGCCCAGTTCCATGGGCTTTTATGTCAAAGCAAAGAAGAGCCTCGAATCAAAGCTGAAATTGAAGACTCGCAAAGAGGTAAGTTTTTTTCGTGGCAGACAAATGGATCGACGCTAATCTTGACAAGGAACCAATGTGTTCAGCTATCCCACAACATGTCCATCAATGTGCGACAATGGATGGCACGGAGAATTATTCCAGCATGCTCCAAATCACTAAAACAGGTTCCTGGCTCAAAGATGGTGCAGCGAAGCCCAAGCTCCGACGAAGACTCTTTGGCAGGGCGCCGTGGGCACGCAAGGAATCAGCAGGGTCTTTCAGCAGCGTAACCAGCTCTGTGAGGGAGATACTCAAAGGTGAGACTCCCCCTCCCTCGGCAGCCTCAAGTTATACTTCTTGTACGTTATTTCAAATATGTACGGTATCTGGGAAACCGAGGCTGACATTCTAGCAGTACATGTCAACTGCGTTAATGGCCAGTTTCCTGGAGGGGTATGTACATGTAAAGAGATCTCCGGTCGCCAGATACTAACAGTTTTTCTTTTCCAGGAGGCAAGAAGAATAAAGACACCACCTCTAGCCGAAGATACTGCGAACGGTCGGCCACGCTCATTCTTCACTGAGACGGTTCCTCCCACAGAAGATGACGGAATGGAGTCTTCATCAAGAAGGAACTCTCTCCAAACAGTTCGTCGCCAGAGCATCGTTGCGGACACTTACGAGTGGTGGGAAAAGATGCCCAAGAAACCCGTTCGCAGGAGCCCTTTTCAAGAACGACCTCCTTTTGAATTTCAACTACCGGAACATCTTCCCAGCAGCCCAATGTGCCCGGCCAACGAGAAACACGTCAGTGGTGGGACTGGCGTCTGTGTCTACCATGGGCGCAGGAAGTGTGCATCTAGATTGGCGCCAGTGTGATTCGAGTTACCATGGGGAGAAACCGGAAAGACGAGCGGTCGTGCCTTGGTTATGAAAAGGCTGTTGGTTTGGAGTACCATATACCTCAACCCCTATTCCTTTGATTTTTGTATTCTGCTTTGTTCTTGTAGTACGATACTGATGAATCGAGTAATAAAATCAACAGCGAGATGCACGAAATATGTAATAAAGTTGGCAGCATACTCTTATTCAGTGCTTTCATATTGAGAGTTTGCCTTGATTGGTGGCGTTGAGTGACGATAGTCTACTCTACAGCATTCTTCTGCTTATTCCGATTCCCTTAGTTTATATGATCGCTTATTTGCCCTGATTTCTTCCCACTTCTACCTGCTTGATTGGGATATATTTCCAAAACGCCCACCATATGCTCCAAGAATTAGGAAGCTATCTAGACGGAAGACCTAACTTGGGCATTTGGTGCTCCTTTATATACCGTCTGTCCCTCTGCAGGCATCACATAGTCATAAGTCTGTTACTGATTATTCTTCCTTCTGCTCCAGAAGGACTGACTCCCCTTAAAGAACAAAGGCGGCGGGTTACGAATGTGAGTCAGTACAAGAACAACGAGCCAGACAATGGTGATAGTAGGAAGCATCCAAGAACTCTGTTGATAATCGGCGGATCGTGTCGCACTGTATCTTATCGATGCAACGAGACTGGTGCCGAGGCCGAGGAGAGTGAAGAGAATGTGACGGGTGATGGCCCATTTGTTCCATGGTTTCGTTCGTGAGATGACGGCTAGAGAGACCATGAGGATCAGGGAGATACCAGCGGCAATATAGGTATAGTTGAACTGCGTCGTAGTTAGAGATTGAAGTGCATATCATGGTATTGATTGAGCATCGACTTACGATAAGTTGGAAACGAATCCACATCTTGTCATTGAGTTCAGATTCAAAACCAGAATCAGTCTGCTGTATGCCTTTGCTCTTGTTCTCATCATCAACTTCTTTGGCGAGGTTGATCTTGAAGGTCTCAAGCAAAGCGTTCTCCATGGCACTCATGAGTCCAATCATGGCGTCGACGAATGTCTGGTAGTCGTTCTGATCAGGAAAATCCTTATCCAGATTTGTATCAGAGTACTTGACGACCTGTGGCCAGAAGGTGTCGTTAATAGTAGAGATATTCTTCAGCGCAGCGTCGGCCGTGTTCAAAGTCGTGATATACTGAGGCGTGTAGGTCTCGAAGAACTTGGTGACAACTTTCTGTAGCTCGTCGACGATGATCTTGGTTGTTGCCTTGGCCATGAGACTTGTGTTGTCCAGGAGTACTGAGCTTGAGTTCAAGTGCTTGAAAACATCAAAGATCTTGGTCCAGATGACGAGCTGCGTGAAACCCTGGATGAAAAGGCAGAGGGCGAGATGTAGAGGATAGTGGAGGAGAGTCCAGAGTTGTTGACGGAACTTGGGCAGGTAAGGGTTCTTCATCCAGTCGAAGTAGATGAGGAAGACGGCATAGATGGTTGTCGCTGCGGCGGTGACAATGCCAATCGTTTGAGCGTCTGCCAATGTGTTAGAAGTAACCCTTGCTTAGGTAAATACAAGTAGGAGACTTACTCCATGCATCAGGGCTTTCGACGATGGTGACAACGCTCTTTGAAATAGTAATGATTCCGTCGCCAACAATAATGACAGTCAACAGACCGATACGCTTCATCAAATGCGTACCCTGGAAGCTCAAGACCGGAAAGATGTAGGCAATGGCAAAGGTGAGGATTACCTCTACGCCGGCGAGAACATACCAAGACATGAAGACGTTGCTATTGTGGTCCGTAAATCTGAATGTGATGCCGAGATAGATCATGGCAAGGGCAAAGTTCAAGCCAATTTGAAGCACCATTGGCAAAACCTGCTTCTTGTACTTTCGGACGTGCCAGAGGATGCTTCCGTATTCAACAGCCAAGCATAGACGGGAGACCATGAGGATGATGGCTAGAGAGAGGGTGTCAGATATGAAAGGGGGGGGGGGGTAGGATAGGTTGAGAAACATACACATTGTTCTCATGGTCTTCATGTTTTGATCGTGAGGTGTGAACTTGGGTGCAACGACGGCGAATCCAACCATGACTCCGAGATGAACACCTCGAGCGGCACGTTCTATCTTTGTTAGCATAAGTTATAAAGATGTTTCAAGCTGGCTTACCAAAGAGACTGTCTGTTACGAATCGAACATCATACAGACTCGTTGTGAGCCATGTGATCCACAGAATACTTTTCATCTGTTAGCCTCTTCATCATATTGAATATCTTCCCACTCCTACCTAAAGTAGCCAACATAGGCTTTGAAGCGTTCGTGGCTGTTAACACCTTGTGTTTCGCAAAAGACAGTGTAGTTGGCGGCGAAGAAGAGATCGTAGAACAGCTCGAGTAGACTGGCATCTTCGTGCTGTTTACATGTCAGCAAACAATCTCTGAGTAACACCTTGGGGTAGTCTATAGACCTTTTGGAACTGTGGGCAGTCATCCTCGTATCTGTTACCAAAGAGGCTCAAATCAGGGGCCGTGGGGCTCCTGGTGGGAAGACCATCGATACTAGAGTCGGAGGATATAAGAGGACTCTTGATGAGAGCGAGCTTTTCAGCTGCTGTAGCGCTCTCGTGATGATCTTCTCTAGCCATTGTTTAAAGAAACTTTAAACAATCTATCTTGTTAAAGGTTAGCATCGTCGTTGCAGGGTATAATAACATCACGTAGATACAACAACTCTTCACAACTAACAAGACCACTTTACATACCTTTAAATAGAGTACTCACACCGAGATGGCAATCCGATCTACAGTAATTCCAGAACAGGATGGACGCCTAGTTATGTAGACTGGACCGAATATTCGGGTCTGAGTGATTGACAGGGATTACAGGCCTCAATGATAACTTCAAACGCCGATCAGAGCCACGGATGCATGGATTCACACAGCTAAGTAGCTGCAATGCACCTTGATATTAACAAGGACCTTGACCGTTGCGAAAACCATATTGAAATGGCTTGATAAGAGAATTCTAACCTGGAACTACCAACTAGTGCAGACACAACATCGAACCGGACTCGGTTAGCTCGTCTTGTGATGGCCTCTGATTGAACAATTCTCACTGCAGAGTAGTATCAGAATCTTACGTGAGAGAGCCAATCTTAGCCCCCAACAATATTAAGTGGTAACGAGCTGAAGACACACGGCACATATAAACGGCTCAATAATACGACTTGGGCTCTCTGATTCGCCAGGTGGTCTGTTTTTAGGGACACCGATAAATCTTGGCGAGTGTGGTGATCCACAAGGCTGGAGTTTTGGAGAGCCTCGAGTGGAGACTGTTGCTATTAAATGCAACGGCTGAACCAAAGTTCCCAGGATGTTTCGTTTTGTCTTTGCTCTTTTGGGTTATATTTTTCGTGGCGCTGACTGGTTGTAACGCTGGCGATGGATCCTTGGCGGCTTAGGTTTTGCTTACCATTCGCATACAGAGAGAAGCCTTTTGCGCTCGGCCGCTCGTTGATAGTATGCTTCGTGGTCTGATTGACATGTAATCATAATTTTAAGCTTGGTTTTGCTCAGAACAAACTCCGTCGGCATAGAATGGTCGGGGAAAATAAAGTCCAAAGTGCAATATGAATATCCTCTGTAGCCACGGCAGAGATGAGAGTTGAGGATGCTGATGCCCTCGCGCTCAAATGCAACCAACTTGAGTCATTAGCGGCTGAAACATATAAATAGACCGAGTCACTGCAACAACCCCCATCCATTCATTGTCTTTGAAGAATGCAACCCAGTTAGGAAACCCAAAACCAACAGCATCTTGTAAGGCTGGTAAAGTGGGCCATTGTGCATGTTCCCCAAGTCTCGTGACTTGGCTCCATTCAAGCGCCTAATTCTCATCTCAACGCGTCAAACGCGTCTCCCCCTTGACTTGGCCTGGTAACTTAGCGCAACCCATCATGTCAGTGGGCAACAAAACAAACTTGGAGATGATGCAATGTTAGATTTCGGTACGGAACGACCTAACAGTATTCTCCGTCATCCACGCAACCGCAATGGACTCTCCTAGCCAGGACGCAAGCGCTCGAAAGAGAAATCATTTTCAAGACGATCCTGTCCCTACTCCTCCAACTCTAAAGAAACGAAGACTCGACCAACTTGCACCCGGATCTCCCTCGACTCCGAAAGCTCTCGATGCTGTCAACTCAGCATATCCTTCTGCTATCTCCAGCCAAAACGCATGGCCACCGGTGAACATCAATCTCGAGGTGTCCAACTCCAACCCGCTGCCTACAGCTCCATCATCACAACCTTCATCCCAAGCACCACCACCAGCTTCCGCAGCACCCAAATTTCGACCAGCCATCAAACTATCCGCTTTGAAAGGCACAATATGGGATAATCAGGAGGCGCCTCGTCCTGTGCCTCTCCCCAAGAAAGTTGGCCCAGGACGACCCAGAACCACAACAGCCAAGAAACCACCAGGACCCAGGGGCAGACCTCGAAAGAAGAAGGTGCAAGAAGGGGGTGAGGAGAATCGCGAAGCCACTCAAGTGCAAGAATCCGCCGATGAATTGGCCACAGCAAATGGAAACCTATCGGTGTCGAAACCTACACCAAAGGGAATTCTGACTCCCACAAAGAAAGGCAGACCACGAGGACGGCCACCGAAAAATGTTAGTTTTGGAGCAGGCCAAGATCGAAACGGGGAGGTTTTCTTTGAGGACCTGCCGAAGAAGGCAAAGACACCTCGTAAGACGGCCGATTCTGAGGCAGACGAGCTTGTATGCGCAATCTGCATCAAACCGCATTCCCAACCTCCGAACCAAATTATTTTATGCGACATGTGTGATTTTGCCGTTCATCAAGAATGTTACGGAGTGCCTGATATCCCTGAAGGCGATTGGCTTTGCAAGTCATGTACTCAAGAGGACATACTTAAGACGCCAAAAAAGACTCCAGGCGTGGAGGTTCCGACCATCAAGATCGCAGCGGATGTACCTGATATTGCCAATTTGGAACAGCATGTGCGATCATTACAACGGATTCTCCTGGATCGGTGTACGGGAAGAAGACGTTTACAATTGCCTGGCCAGCTGGAGGCTGAGGAGAAGGTTTACCAACTTGTGGAACAAACGGTTGTTGCTGGTGAAGGAAACTCAATGCTTGTCATTGGAGGGAGAGGCTGCGGAAAGACTACTGTAAGTTTACTGCTCCGGGGATGAAACCGAAAGCTAATTCCACATCTCAGTTGTTAGAAAAGGTCATCTCGGATGTATCTCAGGAGCATAAGAACGACTTCCACGTCGTGAGGCTTAATGGTTTCATCCACACAGACGACAAGCTTGCACTCAAAGAAATTTGGCGACAGCTGGGTAAGGAGATGCAGGTCGAGGATGACTTGGTGAACAGAGTGAGTTGTCTCAACGCCCGCCCCTTGGTTAGACTTTACTGACAATGTAGACAAACTATGCCGACACCATGGCGTCGTTACTGGCTCTCTTGTCACATCCGTCTGAAATCATCGGTACAGACGAAGGTGTCACGTCACAATCGATTGTGTTTGTGATTGACGAATTCGACATGTTTGCATCCCACCCTCGACAAACACTGTTGTACAACTTGTTTGATATTGCACAATCACGAAAGGCGCCCATCGCCGTAATTGGCTGCACGACTCGGTTGGATGTTGTTGAGATGCTGGAGAAGCGAGTCAAGAGTCGATTCAGCCATCGTTACGTCTACCTCTCTCTGCCCCGGAATCTTCCAGCCTACTGGCAAGTTTGCAGACAGGGATTGATTGTTGATAGTGACGAGGCTGAAAAGGAGGGCATCAACACCTATCTCGAAGGGCATGCCGAGTTCCAGCAGTATTGGAGTCAAAAGATAGAGGTAAGTCAAAGCATGTCTGTGACTGCGATGGATACTAACACCCAGCTCAGGGCCTCTACAGAGAACGATCGTTCCAGGACTTGCTTCAGTATCACTATTACACGACCAAGTCGACTTCGGCATTCCTTACCGAATGGATTTTGCCCCTATCGGCTCTCTCAGCTAACGATGTCACACTCAGAATACCTTCTGTGCAAGGAGATGTTGAATCCTTGACAGCCCCTGATTCCAGACTTCACCTGCTATCTACACTGTCTGAGCTGGACCTGGGTCTCCTTATTGCTGCAGCGCGATTGGACATAGTCGCACACACGGACACGGTCAACCTGGCGATGGCGTATGATGAGTACAGCTCCTTGATGGGCAAACAGCGAGTACACTCGGCAGCGGCAGGCATGCTTGCAGTAGGTGGAGGTGTACGAGTCTGGAGCCGGGGCGTGGCTGGCATTGCTTGGGAACGGTTGATCTCCCTTGGATTGCTTGTGCCAGCCGGTATTGGTGGTGCCCGTAACCTAGGACATGGTGGATTGGAGGGCAAGATGTGGAAAGTCGATGTCGCACTGGAGGAGATCCCGGCAGCGGTGAAGCTGAACGCTGTATTGGCGAGATGGTGTAGAGAGATTTAGTGGAGGAGGTGAGGCAAGGCGAGGTTGTTGTTTTACGATACGATGCCCTACTGGCTTGTTAGATACACATCTGTACAGTACTCCATTGATAGAATCAGGGTTAATGGTGCCCCTGCATCTACATGTCTTTTGTAAAGACATGTAAAGAATACATCGGCGATACTTTGCCAACATCCTTGGTTTGCTAAAGAGTTTTGCGACGGGAACAAGACGGCCTTGTAAGAGGATGGTTTGCCCCTTGAAGATCGCGGTGAGTTATTCTGGGACCCGAGTTTGCGGCACGCGGGAAACACGGCACACTAGTAAAGAGCTGTGTGAATATCTCGGTGAGGAGAAACAGTTTGAGGTTTCGAATACGGTAGAGATACGGCTAATAGGGGGTTCGAGGGGAGAATCTTTGCAGATCCAAGTCCATCCATACATTTCCAGAATATTTCCCGATTCATTCCATGTTACATTGGAACTCTGCTTCGGCAATATTATGGATATGTTTGAAGATATTAGGGGGCTTTTTTAGGTCCCCTTAATAGCATAATATGCTAAAATCTCACAGACCAGGACCAGGCGAGGGTGGTTTTTAGTGAGACGTGTCAAGTGACAGCGTGAATTTGTAATTGATTTGATGGTGTTTTATGTTGATATTTGAAACAAGTAAAGCTATTTTTACTTACGGCGAACAATTAAAAGTTTAATTAATTATTCTTGAGGTAATCACGTCACTGAAGATGGTTGAGATCAGATCAAGATGAGCTCGAGCTAGTGGCAAGCGAATACAACACTTGCAAGTTCCGAACTTCTTCGGCCAAGGATTAGAAGGTTCGATACGTCGAGCGGCCGGCACCTGCTATTTTGTGGCTTAATTACCGCCGTGCCTGCCTTCCACGGGCAGCTGAACTGGGGCTGAAGGATCGCATTTTCAGCAGGAGATGGGCAAGTAACGTAGCAGTGTCGTACTTGCCCATGACATGAGTGAGTTCCATGACATGGGTTGGATTGGTTGGATATAATAAATTCTTGCTCAGGTAAGAGTGAATCAACTTTCGTCATCACAAATCTTCAACAACAAAATAAGAGATTGCCAATGTTTTAATTAGTCTACTTAACCCATAAAAACTTGGAACCTTGGACCCTTTTTTTCGTTCCGTACATATTCTTTGATCATCATCGCTCCTCAACCTTATTATTCTTTATTATCATCATCATTCATTACTCAGCATTTCATCATCTCACTTCTCACCCAGCAGCCGGCACTTTAGTTACCTTATACTGCACCAACTAGAAAAATACGTGTAATATTGTGTCGATCACGACCATCACCAAGCAAAAAAACATGACTCGGTCAACATTCACAACCATCACACCCTTGCCCTCAGACATATCCAGAGAGCATGTAGTCGAGTTTCTCCACGATCATCTCGCCATGATCGACTTGAACCCTCTCATTATAGAACGCCACCAAATCCCTCCTCCGCCACACGCCCCAGAGGATGAGAAGAAGTGTGTATGGTACTCCATGACGGACCGTATCGACTATCTCCCCGGCGGTCTTGTCTCCGGCCAGGTCTCTTACACCGCAGCCTTTTTCGACTCTCCTGATGGTCTGCAGACGCACAGCTACGCTCCTATGGGGCTTGATCTCCGTGGGCGTTGGTCTGTAGGTGGCACGATGCCAGGAGAGCGCCCGCAGCCTGTTGAGCTTGGTCTCGGGGCGCCTACTACGGGTCTTTATCTCCGTGAGGATGTTGATATGCGCTGTAACATGCTCATGGTAGGGTTTGTCAAGAAGACCATCAAGAAGTCGCACGGGACGCTAGTTGAGAAGTTATCTCAGAAGACCTCCATGAAGATGGCAAGGCACTCTATGCAAAACTTCGGGTCCAGCTCCCCAGGAAGTCTTCAAACGCCAACCCCTACTGGATCAGAATCCTCAACAGTACCGCCTATGGGGCCGCTTCTCCCACCTGCCGTGAGCAATGACCAGCGCGGGTTTGCCCCGGACCTATCTTCACTACCTGTCTATGGCCACGGCACACCCTCTTCCTCTTCAAATATGGGCAACACGCATCCGCTGAGAAACGGCGGTCTGGTGCCCCCTGGACAACCTCAGCGGCTAGATTCGAATCAGTCAGGGCTTGATCATGCAGGAACTTCCTATCGTGGCAACAGTAGGCCTGATCATTACACCGAGTTCTCTTGTCACAACCCCTACGATAGTTCACGGACCCCATACGATGAGCGGGAGAACTTTGCAGAATTAGACGACGGCACCCATAACCATCCTCGCCACTACGAAGAAAAGTCAGGGCCCGCAGAGCTAGCTTGAGGCTTGCATGCGGCAGCATAACATCACCGATCAACCTTTCTTTTTGGTTTGGAGCAGGGGCGCTATTTCTAGCCTGGACTATTGTGTCTATCTTTTGAATATCACATTATATCATATCAGTTACGAGCGGAGCACATTAACAATATACAGAATATCGGACGCGGGTTGAATGAGCATAATGATAAAATTACGTTGAGTACTATACGTATTCATATTATACCAACGATAAAGATCATCTCCTAGCAATGCAAATGCCATCCGAAGCTGCCCTTCTATCAAAATGTCCCAAAAGAACAAAAGAAATCCCCTTCAGTGTGACTAATCCAACCCCGGGAAACCCTTTTAGTGGGGGATGGGGTTCACAAAGAAGATCACCAGCTCTAAGCCCCTGAACAGGCGGTCTCTCTTCCTCATCCTTCTTTTGATCAAGTCACACCCAGCTTCTAGTGTCTGAGACATGAGTGTGGTGTTTGAAGGGAGAGATGGGAGTAGCGAGAGTCCCACTCTTCAGCGGTCTAAATGCGAGTGCATGATGGCCCAAAGAGGTCAAAAAAGGTTGTCATTAATACGTTGGTGATGAGAAGCGAAGCGAAGTTTTCGTTGAGTGCTCGTAGAGAATCATAGCGTTGTGAGCCGTAAAGATCGGCCAGTCCCAGATGGAGGTTTGCAAGCTGACGAGCAGATGGCGTGTGACTGATCGCTCTTTGAGACTGAAGATACTCGTGAGAGTGTTTACTTGTCTTTGAGAGCTTACAGAGCAATGAGGCCGAGCATGGCAGCCAGGCCGAGACCGACCTGGACAGCACCGGCGCCGGCAACGACGACGGGAGTCTTGGGGACATCCGTACCCTTGGCGGGCTTGGTAGACACAGGAGCCTGGGGACCGGTGGTCTTGGCGGGCTTGCCAGGGATCCAAGTAGGGCCAGCGGGGTGAGTCTCAGTGACGGTGCAAGGGCAGTCAGTGATGGTCAGAGTGCAAGGCTCAGTGACGACGTAGTCCTTGCCTCCGAGGTGGAAGCTGGTAGGACCAGTGCAGACAGTGGTGTAGACATCGTACACACTGGTGGTGGTGACGGTGCCGTTCTTGACGCCGGTAGGCTGAGGAGCAGGAGAGACAATGACGGCCTCAACGGCAGCGAAACCAGCAAGGGCAACGAGAGCGACGGTGTTGAATGAGTACATCTTGAATGACTTGTTTGGTTGTTTTGGGACTTGAAAGAGTGAGTTCCGGTTGGAGTAGCGAGTGCAAAGTTTATTGGAGTGAAGGACAGTGGTCAAGCGAGTGACTTGGGCGAGGTTTGTTTAACGAGTGTGGGTTGCAAAGAACGAGAAAGATGCTGAGTGCTGAGGAGGAAGAAGAGAGTGTTGATGTGGTTGACGAGGCTGCCTTATATCTGTAAGTGAAGCCTCAGAGTCAGACACCGGCCAAGAAGAATCAATATGTTTATCTCGGCTGGTGCCCCCTGTGTCTGGACCTGACTCTCTCAGCTTGCGACAGTCTAGCCGCCACATGAAAGAATGGTAAACAGGCACATCGTCATGCGGCTTCATTCCAGTGCGCAAGGGAGAGGCACAAGGAGATTAGGGCTCCGTAACTAGGGAGTTGTTGACCTTGGTTGCATGATGCAGGGAGGGGATTTTGTGTGCAGTAAGTGAGATGAGTTGTTCTGAGACGTGCTATTTTGAGAGAGAGAGAGACTGTTGAGATGTTTTGTTTCTGTGTAATTTTATATTTTTCTGTCTGGTTGTGTTGTGTTGTGGTTGAGTGTAAGTGGCTTTTGAGTCTTGATTAGCGGGTGATATCTCGGTATCCAATGATAGACTGTAAGTCGTGCTCAAAACAGTTGAATACGAATGTAAACAAACTAGAAAATAAACAATTCGACTATAATCTTAATTCTATTTCCAACAAATCCACATGATTCGACCAAAAAGAGGAAAAAGAAACGGTGCTGCAAGAATCGATCGATCTGGAAGCCTGTCTCTTGTCTCTCTTGGGTTTTCCTCCCTTACTTGACTCATCTGCCGTTGACGGTTGACCCCCACATACCTCAGACATGACACTAACATAATAGACATTGTCAAAAGATTAGATTAGTTCATCAGCTCGTTTGCGGTGGACAATAACACCATGAAGTCTCTGATGAGACAAATGCTCGGGTCAAGAGTGCCGAGGTATGAACTAAGAACAAGCTTTTCTCAAGATATCACAAGAATAAGATAAGAAGAGAAAGGAGAGACAAAAGGAAGAAAATGGAAGAGGTCATTGTGTCTTGTAGTTTAATTAAGAATATGCAGTCAACGTCTCTGCCCCTATTATATGCATCTTTTTTCTCATTAAACTTCTGGGGTAGGTACTGTATCTGTAGATCGTGCATGCATGAGATTGATTGACTGAATGAATGATTGATCATTGCTAGACACGGCACATGCAATCGAATCGCGACATATCGCGTGCTCACAAGATAATTTGAGCAAGTGAGGCAATATCCTTATCAGAAACAAACACAACATTCTTGGTGTGTCTGAATCATGACTACACATTCCTGTCTCTAAAGTGCGGTCTACTATACAGACTCTTCACCAGCCATATCAATCAATCAATGCCAGGCACAAATTACATATTCAGATCATGCTTGACTCGAATTCATTTCTTCATCTTTATTCCTCTCGGCAAAATCCATCAGAGAGACTGCTCAGATATCTTTCTTTCTTTCTGTTTTTTTCTATGTACGATTGTCTTTCAGCGCTGGCCCGCCGTGTAATGTTTGGTAAAATGTACCCGACTCCTTCCAATGCAATGCATTACTTTCGGTTCCTCGACGTGGCCCCGTTTGTAGCATGAATAAATGAGTAGAGACAAAGTGAGAGAGAGGGAGAGGTAGAGGTAGAGAAGAAATAGGACCCTCCCCCCCCCTCCCAGAAGTAGAAAGAAAAAGAAGAGAACAACAATAACACAAACAACAAAGCTAACAAGAACATAGATGCCGTGAGTTTTGGTCGTCGAAAAACAAAAATCATTCTTCGCGCTGGACAAATCAATCAATCGATCGCATACTCAAGGCCATCATATATCCATAGTCATGATTCGGAATCTCAAACTCGGTCTCGGAAACCCAATGCAGCGCTTCTCGATTCAGCCAAGTACCCGACATAGGTAGGTAGGTACCTAGTTAAGAGGTAGCCAGCCATCACATTGTTGTGATATCACTTCTACCGTGTACCCCCAATGCCTCGCTTGGCGATACCAAGACGTCATACCTCCCGACGATGTATCGGCGGCCGACCCGAGCGTGATCTAGTTCCCATACAAGATTTTTTTTTTCATCGAGGTCCATGATCGATGAGTAAAATAGGGACCGAAACTAGGAACCGGCCGAGTGAGATCGGAGGCATCCGAACTTAAATAAGAGACCGTTGTCGGAAAGGCAGAGCCGGGCCGGGAGGCGGAGAGTTGGGCAAAGCATAGCATAGCCATGACCCCCATAACGCTAGCCTTGGAACCAAGGAAGAAGAGGCAACGAATAAAATACAACAAAAGGCAAAAAAAAAACAAAGATAGAATAGCTCGGGAAACCCAAATAACACCGATAATGCTTGGAAGGTATGGATGGCTCTAGGTGGTATCGTTTTGATGGTGGCAAACGCTCGGGTAGCCAAATCTGTCAAACGTCTCTATGCAAATGACTCGTTCGTTTAAAAATGAGGCAAATGATGGATGTGAATGCTTGCTCGTGTCCCTGTAGGCACTGACTCTCCTCCAGCGCTGCGAGGAAGGCTCCTTTTTCTGGTCTGGTCTGGTCAGGTCAAGTCATGGCGGCTCGCTTCTGGATTAGGCTTTCATTTCTCTTCTTCCTCTCAAGCTTAGCAGCCAGTAGCTAGCCATTAGCCAAGTGCCAGCCCTCCCTAGTGCAGCTTCTGGTCAGATCCCTTGGAGATCATCACTTTCGGTTTGATCTGCTTTGGCTTCGCTCAGGTCCTCGGCCGACCACGTCAAACTCATAGTTTCGCAATTGCTGCTCGTACTTGGGGCTGCGGAGGAATTTTGGTACAGAGTCCTATTTTTTTTCTTTCCGTTAGCATCTGTCATCCTGCGCATCATCGCTCTGATCGGCATGTCCGAGAACGGAATTGGAGGCTGGAGGGGCGGGTTTTAGTCAAAACTTACACTAGCCATCAGCTTGAACACTGCGTTTTGAGCGTCCTCAAACAGCGTCGTCACCTCTTGTAGCGTGTCAATCATGGCCACATCCTGTCCAACGGCCTTGGTCATGCGAGTTGCCAAGTTGTTGCGCAGTTGATGGTCAATGTTGAGTTCGCACGGCGATCCTGGAGCCAGGAAGGCGTTGTAGATACCATACGCCGAGGCCATAATCTCCTTGATTCCGTCCATGGCATTAGTGTTGGGCGACTTTTGAGCCGCTCTTGTGGCAGCCTTGCAGCTACGCACAAACTCGTCAACATCTTGATAGAAGGATAAGTTTTCTTCGCAGTGAGTATCTCGTAGTTGCTCACGGAAGAGGAGACGCAGCGCGGGGTCGTTGAGAATCTTGTCCAATCGCTGGGTGTTGGAGTCCCTAGTGATGCCGTTTCGCTGAGATGCGGCACCGCCTTCGCTCTCCGAAGGTCGGCCCCGAGAAGAAGCACCACTGACAAGATCCTTACCGCGTTGCGACAGCTGGTAAATGGCGTATTTGGTGGGTTGGAACAGGTTGCATCCAGGGTTTTGCGACATATAAGCTCGGTCCTGGGCCACGGGCTCCATTAATTCGTACTCAACGAATAGAGTGGCCACCTCAACAGTCTCTCGCTTGTCCACGATGGTTGAGCAGTCCATGAGCCAGTCAGTGGCAGCCTTGCCAGTGAAGGTGTCACGATATGTCTTGCCATTCACCTTGCGCTCGGCCGCCATCTTCACTCCGGTGAGGCCATCTCGGTAGTCATGCAGCGAGTCCGAATCGGCGGCGTTAACGGTGGTCTTGATGTTGCGGCCCTCGGAGCCAGCAAAGCGGCGGAAGATGACCTCGATTGTTCCTTGGTCGTGGAGAAGCTTATCAGTCTGTGGGTCTCGCTCCAACAACACCAGCTGGGTGGAGGCGAGGTTAGCCAATTCCGACACTTGCTTCTGTTGAATGCCGTTTCTAGCGCAGAATCTATCCAGAACAGTGATACCCTTGGGAGTTAATTGCCAAACAGAGCCCTTCATCGTGTAAACCTGCTGATATTTGCCATCTGCTGATTCGATAAAGCGAGCCTCCAGAAAACGTTGACAGATAGAGCGGGCCATGTCCTTAGCCATGGAGAAGGTTGTGGTTGTGGTGGTTGTGACGATACGAGAAGGATCCTTGGGGTCTGGCATACGGTTGGATTGAGAGAACTTTAGAGAGCCCAGGTTGTTGATGGCATCCTCGGACAGAAAGGTGTACTCAACCTTGGTCAATCGGACACGGTGGGCTGAGAGCGGCAGCAAACTGACGACAAGAGTTGAGAAGAGATCCTTGAAATCCTATTTGTGCAACAGTCAGTGGCTGTTTTTTTCTTCTCTTTTTCTTTTTTCTTTTGGAGAAACAGGGTTTCAACAAGACGCAATGGCGCAGAGGCTACGCGTGTGCGCGCACGAGGTAAAACGGCGCCTAAAGGCACACCAAACAAGGTTGGGTAGGACAACAGGGCGTACCTTTGTGAATGGACGGTCATCGTCCGTCATGCGCAACAAGCGCGAAGAAGTCTGGTGCATCTTGTTTGCTGTGGAGGACTTGATGGGGGGCGGGAGGTTCGGGTCTGTGGACGTATAAGGCTGGGACGGCGGGTTGTTCGCCTGCAGAGTCTGGGGAGCGACTTTGCTGTCCAGATATGCACCCGAGGAAAGCGATTGGTTTGAGGAACTTCGTAGACGGTGGTACTTGTCCGGACTGGAGGGTTCCGACGAGGGTGAGGAGCTCGTGAGCAAGGAGAGTCTTGAGAGAGCACCAGAAGACTGTCGAGGTCGAATGGCTGGCTCTGAAATAGCAGCAATGGCGTTTTGTGTGCGATCAAAGGCTGAAGCGGCCAGGGCAAATAGGCTTGTCGAAGAACGGTTGTTCAATCTCGAAACTGAGGAAGCCGTATGGCGATGATGGCTCTGCTGGGGATGATAAGGGACGTAGGTCGGCTGGTTTGAGGCTGAGGTAGAAGAATTACTG